CCATTACTATCATTGTTTATTTTGTTGTTCAAATTTGTCCCAGATTTTTTGAGTGGGCAATTCTTTAAGATGGTTTCCATGCCATTTTGACATGTATCCATTATCCTTTGAGGGTAATGATTGGGGGTCATTACACTACAAAATGATTGGGGGTCATCTTGTACTTTCCCTAGGTCAGGGCTGGGAACCAAAGGTAGCCAGACAGTAGGAATACACAGCTGAGGTTACCCCAAGGTCACACCAAAGTCACACCACAGGAACCTGCTGGTGAGAATTGCCCTGTTGGCACAGCCGCCCACTCCTCATGGTTTGCAGGTGCAGTGATTATGACTGAGCTCTCTCTGAGTCTTGTTTACACTAATTTGAGATTTAAAGTCAAGTTGGGAGCATTCCAGTTGTTTGGATTAGGCCAAGTGGCTACTCCTTGACTGCGAAGAAGTGGGAGGGAGGATAAATGTCCTTCCACAGCTGCCAGAAAGAGAGTAGAGCCTCAACTTGCTAATATTGTCCACAGTAGGGGACTGTGCCGAAATAGAAAGATGATTTGAATACTGGGTGACCAACAGCCCCTTTCCCCAATATCTACTTCATAGTTGGGGAGACAGAGATACAGACATAAGCAAAGGAGAAAGTTGGAAAGATTATGCACCAAACCAGTGGCAGGCTGGTAAATGTTTAACAAAAGCTCCCCAGGATGAAAACATCCCTGATTTATAGTGTTCACCTATTTCTATTGTGTAAATACTCTCACCCTGGCCAATTTCAAATGTGACATCATTGAAGACAGAATTGGGAAGAGAGGTGCAGTAGGTCACCATTACATAGCATTTCTACTGTACAGATACTATAGATATAAACCACCTCAAGAGATAAGAGGAAAATACAGTAAAATAAATAGGACGTACTGAGTTTTGAGTATCTGTCACCTTTGCTTTAATAAAATGTATTTAGTTGTGAGTTTTTGTAATTTAATTTTTAATTAAAGCTGTGTTTAACCACTGGAATGGACGATTCCAGAAAATTCAGCAGTTGTCTCTCATGAGCCAGTGTGAGGCACCAAATTGTCTCAGCATTTTTCCTCTGATGGTGGGGAAGGCATGCTTTTATTCACTTATTTTTTACTTCATGTTAGTTTTAAGTGGTAGAATTAGGAGTGTTTCAAAAAATTATATGTGTATAAAAATGAATCCACAGAAAGTTTGGCTCTTGTTTCTCCACACTCAGTGGAGAACAGTGTCAGCGGGCTTCCCTGACCCCTCCTCCAACCGATTTATGCAAAAAGCTGCTAGGTTATGATCTCTAAAATGTAACTCTAGTTGTGTCACTCCTTTCCCAAAATATTCAATCACACTGAATACAAATTCTCAGGCAGGATTTGAGCTCTACTTCCTTTCCAAACATCTTCCAACCCTCCACCTCTTGTCAGGGGTTTTCGAACCCCACATAGTCCCCGTTCCACTGAGAGGGGTGGCAGTGGGCCAGCTGAGGGCCTGTGGAGAGGACAAGGCATGAGCCCACAGCCCCTGTTTCCATTACAGCAGCTCTGACTCCATTTCACATATTCCAGGTAAAAGTTCCCTTGGGGAACAAAAGGCATTGTGTTGCTAAAAAACAAATGTTTGAAATGCACTATTTTAATCCAACATCCTGGTTCATCCCGGTCAAGTACTCTGAAATCTGCATACTTTGTTTAGGCATCTCCTTTGTTGATTTACATCAACTGATGGTTTATGGAGTACTTCCTATGTGCCAGGCACTGCACATAAAGCAATGGACAAGATAGTCTGTCCTTCCCTGGGGAGCCTACAGTTTGGAGGAGTGACAATAGATATTAGAAGAAATTAAAAAATAATGGCTTTCCCTTTCTTTCCTCTCACCTATCATTTGAGGTTTATCTCAGAGGCCACGGGTTTTATAAAATCTTTTGATCTGCCTTTCTCACTGACCAGAAGAATGCCCCTTTGTGGGGGTCCAGGTGATAGGGCCGCTCAGGGCCAGGAAATGTTTACAGGCTTTGGAGATGGGCAGCCCTGACTCCCCCAGGCCCAGGTGGGACTGCAAGAAAACAGCTTGTTTATGTGAGTTGCTTTTAGTGTGCATGTGTGTGCCGGCACCATGACATTATTGTTATTGTGTTATAAAAGCCCCAGTTCTGCTTAATGGGGTTGGGTTCTGGCTGCTGCTGCTGGGTTCTGAGTTCTGCCTTTGCTGCTGCTGCTCTGCCTTTGCTGAATAAAGTGTTGCTGCATTCATGTCAAAGACTCTGCAAGGCTTTTTTATGTCTGGGCATCTCACCACTGAAACCATCCCTGCTTGAAACATTCTTCCCGACACCCTTCCATGTAGATTTTTGTAAGTCGAGGATGTTTGTTGTTTTTCCTGTCCAACATCCATCCTCTTACCTGGTGGTTGTACCTGGAACAGTCTTTGGGAACCATCTCTCCCCACCCGTCCCAGATCACTGGGGTCCAACTGGTCTCCAGGAGTGGGCAAGTGACCGAGGCTTGGCTGATGAGCACAGGGAATCCTCCTTAGTCCAGTGATTGGTTCAAGTCTGGCCACCCCTCTGGCTACAAAGATTGATTTGGGAGGGATAAACTATCTCAAATGGCCCACAGTGAATCCCAAATGTGTAGGAACTTCAGGAAACAGCTCTCTTTACCACTGAATTTAAGCCCGAAAAGATATAGACCCAGAATTTTTGGCAACAATCTTGTGCTGTGGGGAGTGAAGCCAACATGGAGAAAAGAAGAGCCAGGTGATGGGAAGAGACAGGACCCTGGCAACGCTAAATGCCTGGGTCAAGCCACATCCAAAGCCATCAGGTGACCCTTTGTCATTTTAGTTCCTTAAGCCAATAAATGTCCCTTTTTGCTAAAGTAATTTTAAGTCAGGTTCTCTAAAAGAATATTGAGTAATTTGCCATATCAGAGCAATGCTAATCTGAGCTGTCTAAAGCCAAAGGCTGGTCATTTTTTTTTTTGGCTCCAGCCCATCTGCTATGAAGGAGCCCTTCTCTCTCTCTCTCTCTCTCTCTCTCTCTCTCTCTCTATTTCTCTCCAGTAAGTTCTAAAGTCCCCAGGAGACTCTTCGTGTGTGGTCAGCAAGCCAATTATGTCTTTTCTTTCTCCCTAACTAGGCTCTCTGGGGGTGAGGAGGGGCCCCCATTTTTTTCTGCAGAAGCAGAGAGTGGTAACCCTGTTTCAGCCACCCAGCAAAACAGCTGGGAGATAGCCACTATTGACGCCACCATATCCTCATCCTCTTAAGGCACTTGAGATCTGGGTCCAGGAAGATGAGGTCGCTGGTGCCCCATCCAAGGGCACACGAGTGCTTGCTGCACTTGCCCCTTTTTCTTCATAGTTCCACTTATGGGCCGCTTGTCTTGTGTCAGGCACTATGCTGGGCATTTTATGCTCATTCTCATATGTAACCCTCATAGCAACACGAGGAGTGGAGATAATTACCGTATCCCCATTGAACAGATGAAAAAACAGAAACTCAGAAAGTTCAATGACTCAGCCAGGGCTCCACAGTTAGTAAGTGACAGAACAAGTTTCCAAGACGTGCTTAAGCATTGCCCCACGAATTTTGGTCACTAGAGATGGACAGATAGCAGGAAGCGCAAGCCTAACCGGGGAGGGGGACGAAGAAGGAACATTTGGGACTGTAAGAAGTTGGAATAGTCTCTTCAGAAGCTGCTTAGGCGTGAGACTGGGCACCATCCCGGGGCCAGGCTAGAGCTGAAGTGTGCCAGGCGGCGACCCATGTGGCCAAGGGATTTTCCGCGCTCAGGGAATCTGGCGTGCCAGGTGGGGGCGGTTGGTGGGGCGGGGCTTCTCTGGCCCCGCCCCGTGCCCAGGTAAGGCGCCCGGGGCCGGAAGGGATAGTGCGCTCCCGCAGTGCTTGCGAGGTGTTGGGTGCCTTGGCTGTCGGACTAAGACTGCTTGGCGTCCCAGGACTGGTCCTGCAGGCCGGGCTTTTGGCGGGGGTGGACGAGGAGTGCGCCGTGCCCTGCCCAGCCCGGCCCAGGTGTCGTCTCCGGGGGCGGAGTTTGGGAACTCCGCAGCGTGAGCTTCCCAGCCCGGCAGGCGGGCGGGCGGGTGTCGCGGGACTGAAGCCGAGGAGACAAGGCAGAGCCGGGCGCAGGGGGAGTGCACAGGGTGGGCAAACGCGCCCAGCCGCCAGCATGTTCACTCGAAACCACCGGAGCCGGGTCACCGTGGCTAGGGGCTCCGCCCTGGAGATGGAGTTCAAACGCGGCCGCTTCCGACTCAGCCTGTTCAGCGACCAGCCGGAGGTGAGAGCCCCGCATTACGCTTTCCCTTCCCCTCCCGGACTCCTGCGGCCCCGGCCGCCTCTCCCCCGCCCTCGCGCATGCCGGGGGGCGGAGACGCCGCTGGCTGTGTCCAAACCCGTGGTTGTTGACTTACAAAGTCGGGCGCGGACAGTCTGCACGTTAATCGGATTTGTGTAACCCCAGACACTCCCTAGTCCAGTTGGGATGATTTGCCTCTGCCCGGACAAACTCCGGTTGGACTCAATTTAAGGGGGGCCATGAGCTCAATTCCCCAAATGTGCCAGGCCCCTCCTGGGCATCCCCGCGCAAAGGACGGTAGGCAGCTAGGCGGGACCCAACAGCTTGGACTCTTGGCTTGGGCGCCCGCTCCTTTCCTGGGCCGCCAGCCTCATCTTGCAACCTGTCTCAACTGTCTGGGACAGCCTCCACCAACAGTCTCGACTTCCAGGCCAGGTCTGCCCACTTCGCTGACGTCCTCCCCAACCGCTCCTCTGTGCCTCTCCCTGAAAGGCTGGGATGGTGTGAGTGTGTGTGTGTGTGTGTGTGTGTGTGTGTGTGTGTGTGGTGTCCCTTTTAATGATTAGGTGTTATTTGCCACACTCACTCCTTTCCTGGGGATTGAGGGGAGTCCAGCCTCTAGTCTGACAATCTCCCCCCCCCCCCCCCCCCCGGGCCCAGCGCTTTTCATGGTGCCCAGGTCTGAGCCCTACCTGTGACTCCCTAACGAGGCTTCAGAGGGCCTGAGCTAGGGCTGAGAGAGTAAGTGACGACAGCTAAGAGGCTGTCTCCAAGGTCAGCTCTCCTTCCCTGCTGGGCCTGGAAGGGTTAAATGAGGGGGCCTTTCTCCCGCCCCACTCGCTCTCCAGCGGGGATTCCAGGCCTGGCTTTTGCCCTTTCCCCCCCAGCCTGCCCAGAACAAAGGCCCTTTCACACCCGTGTCCCGGTGTCCCGGGCCTTCTCTGACTCAGAAGCTAGTGGGTTTTGGGGACAGGGCCTTTGTCGGGTCTCCCACAAGCAACCCCACCCCGGGCTAGCGTGGGAGAATGAGGGGCCTGGCCCCGGGACCAGGAGGGAGGGGCCTATGAGCTGGGGCCGCCCGGGGATAAGCCGGGCCTTTGCGGGCCAGTGCGGAGGAGCCGGGGCGGAGCCGCAAGGCCCGGCCGGCCAGGGGAGTGTGACTCCGTGGGCCTGGGGTGGAGGGGTGGGGGCGGGCAGGCAAAACTGCAGCTGGCTGGGAATCGGGGCTGGTTTCCTGTCTGGAAGGGAAGGGGCCCGCAGAGGGGAGCGGGGGCAGCAGCAGACAGGCACACCCCTGCCTTTCTCCCTCCCTCTTTTCCCTTCTGCTGGAAAAGCGAGGTAATTGTAAGCCGGGGTGGGATGGGGTGGCGGGCTGGATGGGGCTCCCAAGTTGGAAGAGGTGGCCCTGGGGGTTGGGCTGCATTTACCCCTTTGTCCCACTCCCAGGGCTCACTCTCCCAAGTCCTCACTTCCATCCCTCTTCTTCCTCAAACTAAGCCAGAACTCCTCTCTGAAAGCTCCAACCTCCTGACAAACTCCAGGATTCTGTAGAACCTGCATGAGGCGTCCCCTCCCTGCCCCCTTCCAGCTGTGCCTGCCCCTCAGGCCCTACTGGCACACAGATTCTCTGTCCACCCGGCCAGGGATGTGGGCGGGGGCTGGGGAGGGGCCAGAGTCGGAATGAAAGGGCCTTTTTCTTCCACAGCTGGGAGAACAGCTGCCACCAAAGCAAGACTGGACACTCTGTGCCCAGAGCCCCTTCTGCAGCTGGCCTCCCCTCCGGGGACCCCACTTATCCTCACCTCGCTTTCCTTTCCTCCCGTGCCTGGCTCCCACCAGGGCCCTGGAACAGTGGTAGGCAAGGAAAGTTTGTTGCAACAGCCAGAGGGGTCTAACAGGAGTGCAGAGGGACAGGGGCAGCCTCTGCCCTCTGCCCAAGAGCTGCCCACCTCTTTCAAGACCAGGGGAGCAGTGGGAGGAGGAATTGTGAGGCAGCGTGGTACCTGCCAGCCCCCTCCGTCTGGAGGGTCTGACAAGGGAAGAGGCACTGGGGGGCACAGAGATGCAGGACAGATTGCACATCCTGGAGGACCTGAATATGCTCTACATTCGGCAGATGGCGCTCAGCCTGGAGGTAATGTCCTGCAGCGCCCCCCACCCCCACCCCAGTGCATCTATGCATGCATCCCATCCCCAGTCTCTGCCCTGCCCATCCCTGCTGGGGCTGAGGGGGAAGGTAGGCCTGCTTAAAGTGGGGAGACGGACAGGTGGTTCTGTATGCCTTGCATGGCCTTCACAGAGAAGGGGAAGGGGACTCTGGGTCAGCATGTAAAGATTTTGCTGGCTCTGGAGATGGCAGGGAGCTGCTTATTCATTTATTCTTAACACATTCATTGAACACTTACTATATGCCAAGCTCCCTTCTAGATCATGGGATACTTCAGTGAACCAGACAGAAAAGATCCATTTGGCTGGGGCACAGACAATAAACATCAAACATATAAGTAAACTTACATAGTGAAATTATGATGAAAACAGGGGATGTAATCAACAAGAGGTAGGAAGGGCAGCATTGGATGTGGAGGTCAGGAAAGGCCTCGGTGATGAGACCGTTGAGCTGAGACCAGAAGAATTTGGAGATATGTGAAGATTGAAGGAAAGGCTTTTCAGACAGGGCACAGAAAGCTCAAAGACTCTTGAGTGGGTATGAGTTCCAGTTCCAGTGTGGCTGGAACATAGTTGGGGTGTAGCTTATGGGCAGGGGACAGATGCAGGGCCTTAAAGGCCATATGAGGCACTTAGATTTTACGCTTAATGTGATGTCGGCCCATGGAAGGGTTTTAAGCAGAAAGACGACTCATCTAATGTTTTAAAAGGCTCAGTGGGGGTGGGAGTGGGAGAGAAGAGGGTTGGCAAGAGAGATAGCAGAAGACCACTGGATGGGAGGTTGTTACAGCATCAGAGGAGTGAACCTGGTGACGTGGATGAAAGTGCTTGTGGTGAAGACGAGCAGTGGGTAGATTTCAAATGATTGTGGTAGATCTGACTGGGCTTGCTGATGGATTCGATGTGAGGGTTGAGGCAAAGAGGACTCCAGGATGATTCCTAGGTATGTGGCTAAAGCAACTGGGTGGTGTGGTCATTGACTGAGATGGGGAAGATGAAGGAAGCTTTGGAAATGCCCATCGGGACCAGGCAGAGGTTTTCTGCTGAGGAGGTCAGAGGCAGGATGGTAGAAAGTCTAGATCAAGAATGGCAATTTATTTCACATGTGTCTCCCCTCTCAGCCCAAACCCCAATTCTCTGATCATAGTAGACATTACTAGTCACTCATGGCACTCTTTACCAGCAAGCCCAGATATGGCCTCAGAATCTTTCTCAGCACAAGCTTGGCATAAATTGTGCGGGTTGTTTTCTTCATAAGGGTGCCAGGCAGAGGCAGGAGTCCTGGCTTGGTTTTTAGGCTGCATCAGGAGGAGGCACCTTTATCTTATCTGTTCGCCTGGAGAGGGTCACCTTTTTCTAATATGCAGAAAGGTGCCCAATGAGCCTGTTGAGACTCTGACACTACCCGTTGTCCTGTTTGGTACATGACATAAAACCTATTTGTCATCCTAGGTCTTCAGCACTGTGCATGTTATTAGTTACATGTGGCTATTTAATTTATAATTTAGTTAGTTAAAATGAAATAAAATAAAAAAATGTAGTTTCTTAGTTGCTCTAGCCGCATTTCAAGTGCTAGATAACTACTGAATATTTCCATCACTGCAGGAGATTTTATTGTTCAGAGCTGGTGTAGGTATTGAAATGTTTAAATTGTGCATCTTCCCCACCCCCACTCCCAAGTAATTTTTCTTCATGGGAGGTCTGCCCAAGTTCTGGGGAAGAGGAAGGACCTTAGATTTCACTTTTGTCACCTGTCCTTCAGCTATGGGCTGAGGAGGCTGTGTTCTTTCTCCACAAAGCTCAGCAGTACCCTTCCCTCCTCCCCAAGAGAGACCCATTGATGTTTCAGGGATTGGCAAGAGAGGTAGTCATGGAAGAGTCAATCCAAGACGACTTCCTAGAGGAGGCAACTTAAGCTGCAAGTAAAGGGGAGGTGGGAGTGAGAGAAAGGTTGTTTTTAAATATGTGCTGGGCCCAGGTAGAGGTTAGACTTTCCCACTTAATCCTCAAACAATGCTGTGAAGGAGGTAGAATACTCCCCCCAGTTTACAAACTGAGGCTACAGAGATTAAATTCTCACAGCTAGTGAAGTTCCTAATCTAGGATTTATACTTAGCCCTGGTAGAGATTCTGAAGGGAACAGAAGGTGAAGCAGAGTAGGAAGTCAGGGACAGAAGAGAGTAGGAGGGACAGGAAAAGATGTCCCTGGAGGGTCTAATGTGCCCCATTACTCATCCTTCTTCAGCCCCTTGGGCCCTGACACTGGATGTCAGTTGGCTGATAGCCAACTCTGGCCTCTTTCTCTGGATAGTCTGGTGAAAATGCTGCCTCCTTGGGGAGAGGGTGTGGGCGTGGGGGGTGGGGAGGGGGTGACAAGAAGATATCCCTGGGGTGAGGAGATGAGTGCAAAGCACAGGGATCCGGAAACTGCACCAGGATTCCTGGGATGCTCTGTACAAAGGGTTGGAGCTGGGATTTCTATGCCATGGGAGAGTGGATTTAGGGTCTGAGGGCAGTGGGCGGGTGGTAGCAGGGGTGTCTGGGCCCCTAGTCAGGCTCATCCGGGCTAGCCCGGGACTTCTGCAGCCTTAATTATTCCAGTTTACACTCTATCCTCTTCCCCCATGCTCCCGGGCAAGGGGTCACCTTGGAGGGTAAGCGCACGGGCCTCCTTGCAGTTCGAGCTCCGAGCCCTGGGCAGAAGCCCTTTACAAAAGATCGACTCAGGCGCTCCCAGTGGTAGCGTTGCACCGCGGTGGTGCCACTGGGAGCCCAGAGCCCGGGAGCCTGGAGTCTAGCCTGGCCAGACTCACAGAGGGACCGCCAGCACCCTGGAGCCCCTCAGCCTTTCTCGCGGCAGTTGGGAGCTGACGTCACCTGCGCCCTGAGCGCTGCGGGCGGGGGCAGAGGTGGCTGCGCTGGCACCCGAGCTGTGCAGCTCCCGGACCAGCGCTCCGCGCGCTGCCTGCGTTGGCGTGGCACGGGCAATGACCAGGGCTAGGGAAGGATCTGTGAGTGCTGGGGCCGGGACGCAGAGGCCAGCCAGGAGGGGGCTTGAGGACGCCTATCTGTCCCCCCTTTGCCTCGCTCTCACTCTTTTGGGGGTGTTTGTAGTAGAAGCTGGATGCAGAATGGGGTGGGGGTTGGCAAGCAGGAAAGCTTAGCAGAGGTGGGACCCTGGTGCAGACAGATAGAAATAGCGGTGCTGGGGGGAACTGTGTAGTCTGGGAGGGCTTCCTTGTGTGTGTGTGTGTGTGTGTGTGTGTGTGTGTGTGTGTGTGTGTG